TTTTTATCTCTTTACAATTTATCTGCAAATATTCACTAAACCAATGCCATTTTTTAAATAAAAAGTTTGTTATCTTGATTTCTTATTCTTCTGGTAAGTTTCTCCATTTCTGCATATCCCATAAGTTTATGTATCCATTCTTCCTTTGCTGGGACTTCTGCTTCTTTCCATTTGGGGGCAAGGAACATTCTTGCCTCTGTAGTTACATACATGAAGAAATTTCAACACAGTTTAGGTAGTTCTGTCCCTATAATGCCGAAGAGAAAAGCTTCTAGTTTTCTGTTATTTCAAACATTCATTTCATTTCATTATATATCATTTCCCAGTAAGCCTTAAACCTTACTACAAAATCCATGGATTTTTTTGTCCTGATCTCAGGGATCTTCTTGTGGAATGGAATGGTGCCGGCAATATCTACTCAGCCATCTCTTCTTGGTGCTGGAGGTGAAACAGCTGTTGTGACACCTGACCAGGTACGGAGACGGACCGCTGGGAAGAGAGTCTAGAGGCTGTCAGAGTGTATTTCCCCTCCTCACCTCCTTGGGTGCAAAGAATTCCTCCTTCCCTTTCTTCCTGCCAAAGCTGCCCACCAGGAAGACCGGGGAAGCCACTCGATACAGTTTGTGTTCTACAGGAAATAATAGCATCATAGAATTGTAGAGTTGGAAGAGACCACAAGGCTCATCTAGTCCAATCTCAGGAAGATGGAGCCATCCCATATGTGCTACCAGCCTCCTTTCCTTGACTAGTGTGATTTTAAGGTCTTAGGTAAAGGTAAAGGGACCCCTGACCATTAGGTCCAGTCGTGGCTGACTCTGGGGTTGCGGCTCTCATCTCGCTTTACTGGCCGAGGGAGCCGGCGTACAGCTTCTGGGTCATGTGGCCAGCATGACTGAGCCACTTCTGGTGAACCAGAGCAGCGCACGGAAACGCCGTTTACCTTCCCGCCGGAGCGGTACCTATTTATCTACTTGCACTTTGACGTGCTTTCGAATTGCTAGGTTGGCAGGAGCAGGGACCGAGCAATGGGAGCTCACCCCGTCGCGGGGATACGAACCGCCAACCTTCCGATCGGCAAGTCCTAGGCTCTGTGGTTTAACCCACGTCCCTTTAAGGTCTTAGATATATAATAAATGTACCAACCAAGCATGTACATAGATCAGCACAGGAAGACCGACCTGAAAATATTTTTGATTCCCAAACTGACCAAATGTTTTCCCTGCAAGAGGGGAGGGGGGTCAGGGAGCCTTCCCATTGTCTCAGGAATTGAGTAATCAGCATTTTAATGGGTGACAGACTATCATGGGTGACAGGCTATCAGGAAAGACAGTCAGGAAAGGCAAACAGAAAAAAACATTCAAATTTCTGCTGTAGACCACCCCTTCTGTGATGTATGTATGATGATGTATGGAGGGGTGGTCTTGAGCTCCAGGGCAGGGGATTTAAAATGTCTATATAAGGGTGGACACACCTGGGTCCTTTCCTGCGTGTGAGGGGAGCACCCTGTTGCAACAGAACAATAAAGATCAGGCTTACGAGCTGCTTTGCTTCTCAATATTCTCTGGTTGGCCTCTGTTATTTTCTCCTACCAATAGGAAACCTACGTAAGGAATCTATATGGGCTCTTGGATACCCCTTAAAGTAAAAGGGCAGATTTTGTTTACAACACTAGCCATCCAGATTTTGCTGGTAGGTAATGTTTACAATAAAGAGGAAACTGTTTTCTTTCACTTTTAGAGTCCAGTGTCCTTTGAAGACGTCGCTGTGTGTTTCTCAAATGAGGAGTGGGCTGTGCTGGATTCTCACCAGAAAGTGCTGCATAGAGAAGTCATGGAAGAGATTGTTGTCTCTCTCGGTAAAGGGCTTTGCTTGTTTTTATACAGTATTTTGTTCTGTGAACTGCCTTGAGATCTTACAAAGAAAAGCAGTATATAAATTTACAGTCATACCTCGGGTTGAAGTTGCTTCAGGTTGAGCACTTTCGGGTTGCGCTCCGCGGCGACCCAGAAGTAACGGAACGCATTACTTCCGGGTTTCGCCACTCCGCATGCACAGACAGTCAAAATGACGTCACACTCCGCATGCACAGACAGTCAAAATGACGTCACACGCATGCGCGGAAGTGGCGAATCGTGACCTGCAGATGCGTGTTGCGTTTACTTCAGGATGTGAACAGGGCTCCGGAACGGATCCCGTTCGTATCCAGAAGTACCACTGTACTAAATAAATAAATTTAATAATAAAACAAGTCTTTTCAGTTTCTCCTTTATCAGAAGCATTGATTGAACTTGTTCAGTGATTTGAGACTCCCCATTTCTTCCTCAGGCTCTAATTGCCACAGAAAGAACTTCCGCCGGAGTCCTGCCATTACTCCCTATCAAAGAATTCACACCGGGGGAAATCTGTATCAGTGTTTGGAATGCGGAAAGAGCTTCAGGCAGAAAATAACCCTCATCCGTCATCAAAGAATTCACACCGGGGAAAATCCGTATCAGTGCTTGGAATGCGGAAAGTGCTTCAAACAGAAGATCACTCTCATCCATCATCAAAGAATCCACACAGGAGAGAAACCATACAAATGCTTGGAATGTGGAAAAGACTTCCTTCGCAGTTCTTACCTTACTTCCCATCAGAGAATCCACACAGGGGAGAAGCCGTATAAATGTTTGGAATGTGGGAAGAGTTTCACGAGGAAGAGAAGTCTCACTTCTCATCAGAGTATTCAGGCAGGGGAGAAAGTATATAAGTGCTGGGCTTGTGGAAAGAAGTTCTGTCATGTTTCGTACCTTACTTCCCATCAGATAATCCACACAGGGGAGGAGCCCTATAAATGTTTGGAATGTGGGAAGAGCTTCCATCACAGTTCTCGCCTTACTTCTCATCAGAGAACTCACACGGGAGAGAAACCATATCAGTGCTCGGAGTGTGGGAAGAGCTTCACTCGGAAGAGGAACCTCACTTCTCACGGAAGAATTCACACAGGAGAGAAACCGTATCAATGCACTGAATGTGGGAAGAGCTTCCGACACAGGCCGCACCTTATTTCCCATCAGAGAATTCATACTGGGGAGAAACCTTATCAGTGTTTGGAGTGTGAAAAGGGCTTCTACCTTAGTTCTAGCCTAACTCGCCACCAGAGAATTCACAGAGGTAGATAGGCACTTACTTCCACATGTGGTGGACTTGTATAAAGGTAACTGTTTTTTTTGAAATGTGTATTCTGATCATTTCCGAAACATTTTCAATGACCCACAAATAGCACTCCCCCCAAATTTTGAATGGAGTTGGGGGTGTATACAAAGATTTTTTTGGGGGGGGAGGGGGACCATGGCAGCTGCCCTTCTAAGATGGCTTGTGAGACAGAGTTGTTCCGCCTGGCCTTTGGCTTGGAATCAACTTGATCCCCTCCCCCTCTTTCTTTTTTCGTTTCTCCTCCTGTGATGGAACTCCTATTTGGGGACTTCCCTGGCTTTTTTCTGGCCCACGTAGGACCAGTCTGGATAGTTGGCCTTGGTGAAGATTCGACATTTTCATCCCCCAAAAAGTTTTTGAGTTGAGTTTCCGTTGAAATGATTGCATTTTAATGTTTTAATATGTTGTATTTTAATCTTGTTTTTTAAGTTGTATTTCAATCAATTTGTTTTTATAACGGTTGTTAGCCACCCTGAGCCTGGTCTTGGCTGGGGAGGGCGGGGTATAAATAAATTATTATTATCTAACCATTGTGGGAGATCAGAAGACATCCGATACCAAATTTGGGGACTCACACTAACAGAGAAGTTAACAAATGTGTGCACTTTGCAATCCGTGCTCCAAAGATTCATTTTATGTAACGTTCTGCTTTGTTCCACATATAGCTTCTAATAAAGCTGGTTATCCCCTCTTAGTGGTGCAGCAATAAAACTACTAGCGCATTTGCAAAGCTAACCTGGGTCTGGTATGGTTTCAAGTGGTCTGGTATGATTTCTATGTGCTGAGATTCCTGCATTGCAGGGGGTTGGACTAGATGACCCACAGAGCCCCTTCCAACTCTATGATTCTGTGAAATATACATGGCCTTCTGTGGGTGGGGTATCCTAGGTTAATTTCCTCCCCCCCCCTTAATATTATTTAGCATCATCTGTGATGAAAATTAAAAAGGAATGTTAATGAACAACAAGTACGCATTGTGTTCAGAATCTGTGAGCTGGTTTCTGTTTTGCACCTCACCCTTCATATTATTGTGTTTATCGTTCTTTTGTATATTTTGTATATATCTAAGTTGTTTTCAAAATTTCACACAGGTGGAAAACTAGTGTATGGAGTGTGTGGACTGTCATATGACTGTAAGGTGAGAGAACGTTCTCTAAAATTTTAATCACATTACTAAAAAAGAAAAAAAGCCAATTCAGTGTCACGCTTTTAGATATTCAAATATACCGTATTTTTCGCCCTATAAGACGCACCAGACCACAAGACGCACCTAGTTTTCAGAGGAGGGAAACAAGAAAAAAAATATTCGAATCTCAGAAGCCAGAACAACAAGAGGGATCGCTGTGCAGTGAAAGCAGCAATCCCTCTTGCTGTTCTGGCTTCTGGGATAGCTGCGCAGCCTGCATTCTCTCCATAAGACACACACACATTTCCCCTTACTTTTTAGGAGGGAAAAAGTGACTCTTATAGAGCAAAAAATACGGTAATTCACTGTTGAGTCTTAGTTGACATCCTACAACACCAGTTACTTGATTGTTACTTTACTTTTCTAAATCAGGGCAAAATTGAAAGAATGGAATGGATATTTTTTTACAGAATAAAAGATGGTCAGACAAAATTTATATTTTTATTTGCATATATATTTTATTTTATTTGTATTTATTTTATTTCTTTTATAAACCAGGCCAAACCAGAAAGAATGGACAAAAAAAAATATTAAACAAAAATATACAATTTTTTTTGCAACGGAAATTTGCATTTCTTTTATAAACCAGAAAGAATGGACGACATTTTACGGAGCAAAAAAATATTACTGAATGAAATTTATATTTTTTGCAAGGAAAATTTGCATTTCGGCGTTCTCTGGCAAAAGAGACACCCTTTGTCTTTGAAGAGCATCGCCAGCCGTGCCGAACGCGCTTTCGGATGGCACACTTGTTCCTGGGATAGCCAAAAACTTCTTTGCAAGCACCTTCAACATCGGAAAGGAAGCCTCATTTGCCTTCCACCACGTCAGAGGGCATTCATCGAAGCTCACTCGCGGCATAGCCATATACTCATTGAGCTCTTTTTCTGCTTTCGATGCATCATCCGCCAACGCCTCTTCTGCCTCTAAACCGAAGATTTTTGCCAACGTCCTTTTTCTGGGTGGAGCAGGGCCAGTACTGGGCTCCGTCGAAGCAGCACGCAGACTCCCTTGCAAGTCCGCCATCTTCTTCACGGCCTCCTGCCTGACAGCCTCAGGAGCTTCCAAGAAACGCAGCCGAAACCGGGGGTCGCACAATGAGGCCAGGCCTAAAGTGGTTGCGGTGGGGGTGCTGTCGTACTTTTCCGACAGCGCACCCAAAATTTCACGTTTAATGTCCTTCAGCAGCACACTGTCTCCCTCCTGGGGCTGGAGACTTTTCTTAATTTGCCTGTAAAGAGGCAGAACAGATGAGGCTGTGATGTAACTGCTTCCGCTTAGAGTCGTGGTGAGGTCCTCTAACACGGTAGCTGCAGACACAAAGTCTTGGACCGCCGAGATGTCGTCACCTTCCAACATCAAATGTCTTTTAGACGGATAATCCATAAGTGCCTTGGACAGCGGGAGCTGGTTTTCGAGAAAACTTCGGCACAGCTTGAGCAGACTGCACCACCTTGTGGGACAAGCGCTTGGCAAACCCACCTTGTCCATCTCGAGCATCTCCTGAGCTCTGGTGAGGTCTCGCCTCATTTTCCAGCTACGGCAAATACTGTTTTGTAGCCTTTTCAGCCTCCTGACTGCCCTTCTCAGTTGCGTCAGGTTCAGAGCTCGGTTCACCCCGTCGTTTATATTGTGAGCGAAGCAAGAGATGTGCTCCAAGCCCAGCTGCCAGACCGCTCTGAGGATATTGGCGCCGTTATCCGTCGTGCTGCAAAATACGTTCTTCACGTCGATGCCCCACTCCGATAAGGCGTCTCTGAGCATTTCACAAAGAACGGCTGCGCTGGGCTCCTTCCCAAAATGTCTACAGGCCAAGCAAGCGTCGGTCAACTTCCACTCGTCCGAAATGAAATGGACCGTCACTGCCACAAACGGAGCGCCGGCTACGGACGTCCAGCAATCAGTTGTGACGGCCAGTTCAGTCTTAGTTAGCCTGCATATTTCTCTCTTCATTTTCTCCACCGTGTCCTTGTACAGCTTTGGAACTCCTGCGGTAGCGAAGTAATTTCTACCGGGCAACGGATATTCCGGTTTTAGAGTGTTCACCATCTGGATAAATTTGGGGTGGTCCACTGTGTTGTAAGGCTCCAGGCACGTAGCCAGATACTCTGTGATCGCCTGAGTACAAGAGCTCAAGCTCTTAGGATTGAGTGGCTCAGAATCCGACGCGGTGTTTTGCTGTTCACTAGGACTTTCTGCAACAGTTACTGCAGCACTCGCTGATGCCGTCTCAGCCGCCGGCTCCATGGCATTTTTATGCGAAGGGACGGAAACGTCTCTGGACGAAGAAGGCAGCTCCCTAAATTCCAGAGGGTGTTTGAGCTGGAGGTGTTTGCCGAGGTTGGAGGTGTTTCTGCCTTTTGCGGACACAGAGTGCAAACATATTTTGCAAATCGCGACCCCGTCGGACACCACGCGGCCGCTCTCGTCAGCAGGCAATCCAAAATGCACCCAGAAAGGACTCTTTGTTTTTCGCTTGTCTACCAAATGGTGGTATTCGGGACATTCCAGAGCACGGGGATGAGGCGGGCTGGAGACAAATAGAGGGGGAACATTTTGAACAAAAATAAAACTCTAAAGCCGATGCATTTGATTTATGAAAATGTACTCGATGAAAGCATGCTTCAGCTACACCTTTGCAGATTTCAGGACAACATATTAATACCAATGTCAGTACATGAAAACTGATATATTGATGTCAATATATTAATGTAAATACATTGGTGTCAATATATTAATTTGTTATCAATGATAACAAATGTGTGAGAAATCAAGGGGGCGAGGGGAGAATTGAGAAGAGTTCTAGGGTAGGAAGTGGGATTGTTGAACATGCACCACTGCCTCGCCAGAGAAAGCTCCGTGGATTATTTTATTTTTTTCTTTAGTATTTTGTTACTTTTTAAAGTCTTGCCTGAGGTATGTTGACTTTCAAATGCCTGAGTTTTGCTGCACTGCAATATGCCACAGGCTGCATTTTCTTTAGTGGATTTAATTGGCTGGCTGGGCCTTATCTATTTTAGTGGCTGCAAGCCTACATTTATAGTAGAAGTCACCCTCACACTGTTACACTTACATTTTTTTTATTTGTAAGCCTTTAGCTGCTTGCACTTGTGCTGCATTTTGTATTTTAGTTTTAAAGCTGTGGCACTATTTTGGTTTATTATTATTATTATTATTATTATTATTATTATTATTATTATTCCAGCTGCCCAATGAACTTAAAAATCCCCAGAGAAGGGTCTGCACTGCCATCTCTCTCTGGGCTGTCTATAACTCAGGCTACACAAATCTTCCATTCTTCTGACTAATGACTATTTACAATTTGCTTGCTGAGATCTACGAAAGAGGTGGTGAATAGCAGAGCCTCCAATTGTCCCTATTTTCCCAGGATGTCCCTTTTTTAGAGAAGCCGTCCTGGTTTCTGATTTTATCCTGGACTGCCCCGCTTTTCCTTAGGGTGTCTCTATTTTCACTGGAGAAATGTTGGAGGGTATGGAGTTATCCGACCCCCGAGCCATCTGAAGGCAACCCTGTATAGGGAAGTTTTTTAAAACAATGTTTAATCTTTTATTATATAGTCGTACCTTTGGCTCCTGAATGCCGCAAACCCGGAAGTGAGTGTTCCGGTTTGTGAAACGTTCTTTTGGAACCCAAACGTCTGGCGAGGCTTCCGATTGGCTGCAGGAGCTTCCTGCATCCAATCGGAAGCCGCGTCTTGGTTTCTGAATGTTTTGGAAGCTGAAAGGATTGTGTCCAGCTTCCAAGGTATGACTTCCCAGAGTGTCTTGGGCAACCCAGTGTGGTGTGTGGGGTATAAATAGTAAAAATATCATTATGGAATTGGACGTCTGCTAGTTGCTGGATGGACCAATGTCCTGAGACAGCTTCCTACATTCATTTTTAAACCAGCTGTTTGCTTGGAACTATGAGGACTAGACAATGACAAACCTAGACAGCATCCTAAAAAGCAGAGACATCACCTTGCCAACAAAGGTCCGTATAGTTAAAGCTATGGTTTCCCCAGTAGTGATGTATGGAAGTGAGACCTGGACCATAAAGAAGGCTGATCGCCAAAGAATTGATGCTTTTGAATTCTGGTGCTGGAGGAGACTCTTGAGAGTCCCATGGACTGCAAGAAGATCAAACCTCTCCATTCTGAAGGAAATCAGCCCTGAGAGCTCACTGGAAGGACAGATCGTGAAGCTGAGGCTCCAATACTTTGGCCACCTCATGAGAAGAGAAGTCTCCCTGGAAAAGACCCTGATGTTGGGAAAGATGGAGGGCACAAGGAGAAGGGGACGACAGAGGACGAGATGGTGGGACAGTGTTCTCGAAGCTACCAGCATGAGTCTGACCAAACTGCGGGAGGCAGTGGAAGACAGGAGTGCCTGGCGTGCTCTGGTCCATGGGGGTCCCAAAGAGTCGGACACGACTAAACAACAACAATTTTTGAAAGTACATACCTGTTCTCCACTTCCTGGCTATGCTTCCCGGTGTGAGCGTCGCAGCCAGTGTCGGTTGGCTCGGCACCATTGACTCTGCCCAACTCTGCCAGCTTCAGGCAGTTCTCCCTGTGCTTTGCAGATTCCTCGTGAACCTTCGTCTTTAGGGAGATCTGTTTCATGTCTGCCACTCCAGTCCGTGCCCAGGTGGCGGCGCCCCCAAACAGCAAGCAGGGAAAGCACAGGAACGCGTTTTTTGAGGTGCTTCCGCAAAGCCACTCCTTCCGGTCGTACCAGACCCTGCTAAACCTCCGGGTGACCGGCTTGCCTTTCTCCAGCACGGTTTGCACAATGCACAGGTCAGGGCGGTCGGGACCGAGCTCTTTAATGCAGCGTTGCTCAGCCAAACTGCGCTGAGGAAAGGGATTTCGCAGCAGGGCTTCCACGCTGTTCACCTTCACACAGTTGCAGGAAGATCTTCTGCTACAGGCCTGAAAAACAATTTAGAGAGGAAAGAACGAATTATCGTACCAGACTGTCCTTTCTCAAGCTGATCACACTCTGCAAATTCAGGTAGGGAGCCGTGTTTGTCTGACGCAGTCGAAATAAAAATATTTTTTTAAAAAACAAACATTGTCCTGCAGCACCTTATAGACCAGGCATGTCCAAAGTCAGTTTCAGGGGCCTAATTTGGCCTACCCGTCGGTTTAATCTGGCCCCTGTGGCAGTTTATTTATGCCTTATGAGGAACAGCTAAGGGAGCTGGGCATGTTTAGCCTGGAGAAGAGGAGGTTAAGGGGTGATATGATAGCCATGTTCAAATATATAAAAGGATGTCATATAGAGGAGGGAGAAAGGTTGTTTTCTGCTGCTCCAGAGAAGCGGACACGGAGCAATGGATCCAAACTACAAGAAAGAAGATTCCACCTAAACATTAGGAAGAACTTCCTGACAGTAAGAGCTGTTTGACAGTGGAATTTGCTGCCAAGGAGTGTGGTGGAGTCTCCTTCTTTGGAGGTCTTTAAGCAGAGGCTTGACAACCATATGTCGGGAGTGCTCTGATGGTGTTTCCTGCTTGGCAGGGGGTTGGACTCGATGGCCCTTGTGGTCTATTCCAACTCTATGATTCTATGATTCTATTTCCTGGAGTAAAATCCTAAAAGAAAGCTCAACAGCTTTGGTTGGCCCCCAGGGCCCTTCGCTTCATCAAAACTGGCCCTCTTTGAAAAAAGTTTGGACACCGCTGTTATAGACCAACTAAGTTTGTACTGGTATAAGCTCTGGTGTGCACGGTATCTGAAGAAGTGTGCATACAAACAAAAGCTTATACCGGAACAAACTTAGTTGGTCTATAAGGCGCTACTGGGCAATTTTTTATTTATTTTTATTATTTTTATTTTGACACTGCAAATATTGGACGAAACCTTAAAAAGGCGGCAGCTCACTGTCAGCCCTGAGCAGTCGTTTGGTGCTGACAGCAAGCCCGTTTGAAGGCGTGCCGACAATAATGGACACCGACAGCAAACCCAGCTTTGTCTGCAGTTGCAGTTTGGATTCAGACCTGCCAATGGGCATTTTGTCCCATGAAGCCCCAGCACTGAAGTCCGGTGCTCAAAAGCTTGTTGTGACGGACGGACCCAGAAACCAATCAGGAGAGCGTGAGCTGCAATTAAGCAATATGTAAGTTGTTTACATACATGAAAGTGAAATGAAATCCATGAATCCAACCACACGGCACGTCAGGCAGCAGAGGAACCAACCTGAACAGCAGGTTGCCAGGAACGGACAAGACAAGGAAAAGTCCTTGCCATCTGTTTTTATTCAATATTCACAGAGAGAGGCTTGGGAATGTGGCCTCTCAGAATAACAGTGTTGCTCCGAGTAAGTCTCCACCCACCCCTCTCCCTTCATGCATCATCACTACGGGTGCTGATTGCCAGGATCGTCCTACTCACGTGTAGGACCCTGATAGAGACACATGCCCGACTGGCATGTTCTCTCCCTCCTGGTCTGTCGTTCGGGAGCTTCAAAAGCTTTCTCCAGCCCAAACATCACAGCGACTGATTCCAAGAGGCGTCAGCACAATTAGGAACAGCAGAGGAACAGCAGTTTGCATAACAAACTCAGTAGCACAGCATTTTTTTTTATACGGCTTCTCCCCTATGCGTATTATCCATACAATAAAGTTGCAAATGACACTTTTCAGTCAACTTATAACTTACTTCCAGCTTGGGATGCTTGGCTCTTTTTGCTGACACTTTGGGCTGTATCGAACAAAGCTGTTCTGTCGTCGGAAGGTTTTCCGCCTGCACAATGGAAGGTTCCTCCTCTCTCTTCACCTCACAAATCGGTTCCAGGGCTTCACCCAACTCTCCAACCAGATATTCAGGGGACGCAAGGGGCAGTAGGAATCTATTTCACTTTTAATCTCTGGATCTTTACTTCCTGGAATCAAAATAAAGGAAGCATGTGAGGAACTGAGTCTCTAAGGAGAAGGAACCAACCAAATTCACAGCTGTGGAGAAGATAGCAAAGACATCATCCATGCACATATTCAGTGGGGGGGCAGATCCTGCCATGCATTAAATAAACCGGGCTGATATTTACTAAGGTGTTGTTTTAGCTATTCAAGGGCGGAATATTGGTTAGCAGGAACTATTGGGAATTGGTGGCTGTGTCACCCACTGGAACCAAAAATTCTGTCATTTCCTGCAAGAACCAACCAAACTTCTGGAAAGGAAGAGAGTGAGGGTGGCAGAAGTCTACAAAAAACGAACATACTATTATCAGGGAACCAGTTCAAAAATCACCTGTCTACAGAGGACCTTAACTCAGGTGTGAGGAACTATGTCCCTCCAGATGTTGCTAAATTCCCAGCTCACATTATCCTTTATCATTTGGTCAGCTACGACTGGAGGGCCACAGGACCCTCGTACCTACGGGACCGCCTCTCCTGGTATGCCCTGCGGAGGACCTTAAGGTCCATAAATAACAACACTTTGGAAGTCCCGAGCCCCAAGGAGGTTAGATTGGCCTCAGTCAAGGCCAGGGCCTTTTCAGCTCTGGCCCTGGCCTGGTGGAACACCCTACCGCAGGAGATCAGGGCCCTGCGGGATTTGACATCTTTCCGCAGGGCCTGCAAGACAGAGCTGTTCCGACTCAGTCTAACACCCCCCCCCATTATTATTTTTTGATGGAACCCCTTATATGGGATCCCTTATATGGGATTTGTATATAAATTTTCCGTCGGCTCTTTTTGCTGGCCCATGTAGGACCAGCATGGATAGTTGGCCCCGGTGAATATTTGATGTTTTCTCCCCTTATGGCTTTGATCTATAAGGTAAAGGTAAAGGTACCCCTGCCCGTATGGGCCAGTCTTGACAGACTCTAGGGTTGTGCGCCCATCTCACTCAAGAGGCCGGGGGCCAGCGCTGTCCGGAGACACTTCCGGGTCACGTGGCCAGCGTGACATCGCTGCTCTGGCGAGCCAGAGCCGCACACGGAAACGCCGTTTACCTTCCCGCTAGTAAGCAGTCCCTATTTATCTACTTGCACCCGGAGGTGCTTTCGAACTGCTAGGTTGGCAGGCGCTGGGACCCAGCAACGGGAGCGCACCCCGCCGCGAGGATTCGAACCGCCAACCTTTCGATCGGCAAGCCCTAGGCGCTGAGGCTTTTACCCACAGCGCCACGCGATCTATAGGCTACCACTAAAAAGAGGCTGCATTTTAAACTGTATTCTAACTTACATTTTAATCAACTACTCTCTTTTTTGTTTTGGGGGTTTTGTTTGTTTGTTTTGTTTTGTTTTTAATGTTTTTACTGTACTTATATTCAGTGTTAGCCGCCCTGAGCCCGGTCTTGGCCGGGGAGGGTGGGGTATAAATAAAAAAATATTATTAATAATAATAATTCTTCTTCACTTCTCCCTTCCTCCTTCCTCCTGGTCATTGTGAGAGTTGCTCATTTTCTTCGACTCCCTGGTGTACCTGGTGAAGACTTGTTCTCCTGCCCCAAGAGTACAAGGTCTACAGAAGTGCCTCTGGGCAAGGGGTTTTGCCAAAATATTTTTGGAAGTCCACAAGATTACTGTGCACCAGACAACCATGGGCAGCTGGTCCATTAGGGCAAAAGGGTCACTGCCCCACAAACCTCAGCCTGCCTGCCTTCTCCCTTACAAACAGCAAGGGAATGGCTCTGCCCATCATCATAGGCTCTCGCTTCGCTCACCGCTGCTCCATGCTGCCCTGCCAGTCTCATCAGGCACCAGACACCACTGCAGAAAACCTCCAATTTCCAGGCAAGGAGGAGCACATTCGCAATTACCTGCTGCTGAGTATCCTTCCATGCAGGGCGGTATAACCAGCTCTTCGAGCCAGCGGATGAGGTCCGGCCTGGGCATGAGAGGGTCTCCTCCTTCTTGGGAGAAAGGAAAAGCAGGCCTAATTACAAACACGTTTCCTTCTGAAACATCCCCGTTTTCGTCTCCCACACCCTGTTCTTGGCAAGAGGAGGAGGTCTCTCCCCCCGTACTTGGGTGCCCACATGCCTATTGCCCAGTTCAGATTTTTGGGGAAGGGCCATTGCTCACATGTGGGAGCACTGGCCTCAAGAGCAGAAGCTCCCAAGTTTAATCCCCGGGCTGAACACTGAGCTAGGTAGACCAATGGTCTGACTCGCCATAAGGCAGTATGGCTATGAAGAGAACTCTACAGCCTAGATCAGACACGTCCAACTCTCAGGAGACTGCGATCTACTCCTGGTATAATAAAACTAGCAGTGATCTACCCATTGTCATTATAATAACATTTTATTTATATCCCGCCCTCTCCAGCCGAAGCCGGGCTCAGAGCAGCTAACAATAAAAGTAACACAGTTTACATAAACTTACAATCAATTAATTGAAATGCATTCTAAAATCAATTCATTCTAAAATCAATTCAAAATCAAATTAATGGCAACCATTGGGCTAGAGTTCTATGAGGATTACAGAAGAAGAGAGGAGGTCAGGCTGTGCCCTGGCCAAAGGCCTGGTGGAACAGCTCTGTCTTGCAGGCCCTGTGGAAGGATGTCAGGTCCCGCAGGGCCCTAGTCTCTTGTGACAGAGCGTTCCACCAGATCGGGGCCATGGCCGAAAAAGCCCTGGCTCTGGTTGAGGCCAGCCTAACCTCCCTGTGGCCTGGGACCTCCAAGATGTTTTTGTTTGAAGACCGTACAGTGGTACCCCGCAAGACGAACGCCTCGCGAGACGAAAAACTCGCAAAACGAAAGGTTTTTTCGTTTTCGAGTTGCCTCGCAAGACGAATTTCCCTATGGGCTTGCTTCGCAAAACGAAGCTTGCCCCGGGGACAGCGGGTCTTCTCTTTTGAAGCAAGGGGCGGCGGGGAGATCGCTTCTCCCCACCGCCCCTTGCTTCAAAAGAGGTCTGCCCCCAGACCTCTTTTGAAGCAAGGGGCTGCGGGGAGATCGCTTCTCCTGGTGCTCCGAAGCGGGGTGGGAACACCTGCCCCAGCCACCCCGCTTCGGAACGCTGCTCCGAAGCGGGGTGGGGGGGCGGGAACACCTGCCCCAGCCGCCGGGCTTCGTAGCGCTGCTGCGAAGCCGGGCGGGGGGGCGGGAACACCTGCCCCAGCCACCCCGCTTCGGAACGCTGCTCCGAAGTGGGGTGGGGGGGCGGGAACACCTGCCCCAGCCGCCGGGCTTCGTAGCGCTGCTGCGAAGCCGGCGGGGGGCGGGAACACCTGCCCCAGCCACCCCGCTTCGGAACGCTGCTCCGAAGCGGGGTGGGGGGAGCAGGAACACTTGCCCCAGCCGCCGGGCTTCGTAGCGCTGCTGCGAAGCCGGGCGGGGGGCGGGAACACCTGCCCCAGCCACCCCGCTTCGGAACGCTGCTCCGAAGCGGGGTGGGGGGGCGGGAACACCTGCCCCCGCCGCCGGGCTTCGTAGCGCTGCTGCGAAGCCGGGTGGGGGGCGGGAACACCTTCTGAAGGCGGGCGGGGGGCGAAAGTCTTTGTCCTCCCTGCCTGCCTTCCCAGGGGCTTTTAAATCGCCCCGGACGCTGCTCCGAAGCGGGGTGGGGGGGCGGGAACACCTGCCCCCGCCGCCGGGCTTCGTAGCGCTGCTGCGAAGCCGGGCGGGGGGCGGGAACACCTGCCCCAGCCACCCCGCTTCGGAACGCTGCTCCGAAGCGGGGTGGGGGGGGCGGGAACACCTGCCCCAGCCGCCGGGCTTCGTAGCGCTGCTGCGAAGCCGGGCGGGGGGGCGGGAACACCTGCCCCAGCCACCCCGCTTCGGAACGCTGCTCCGAAGCGGGGTGGGGGGGCGGGAACACCTGCCCCAGCCGCCGGCTTCGTAGCGCTGCTGCGAAGCCGGGCGGGGGGGCGGGAACACCTGCCCCAGCCACCCCGCTTCGGAACGCTGCTCCGAAGCGGGGTGGGGGGGCGGGAACACCTGCCCCAGCCGCCGGGCTTCGTAGCGCTGCTGCGAAGCCGGGCGGGGGCGGGAACACCTGCCCCAGCCACCCCGCTTCGGAACGCTGCTCCGAAGCGGGGTGGGGGGGGCAGGAACACTTGCCCCAGCCGCCGGCTTCGTAGTGCTGCTGCGAAGCCGGGCGGGGGGCGGGAACACCTGCCCCAGCCACCCCGCTTCGGAACGCTGCTCCGAAGCGGGGGGGGGGCGGGAACACCTGCCCCAACCGCCGGGCTTCGTAGCGCTGCTGCGAAGCCGGGTGGGGGCGGGAACACCTTCTGAAGGCGGGCGGGGGGCGAAAGTCTTTGTCCCCCCTGCCTGCCTTCCCAGGGGCTTTTAAATCGCCCCGGACAGCAGAGAAGTCCTCCGCTGTCCCGGGGCGATTTTAAAATGCCGCCCGCCAGCATTTTAAGATCGCCCGGACAGCGGAGAAGTCCTCCGCTGTCCCAGGGTTTTTTAAAATGCTGGGGGTGGGAAGAAAAGCCCTTGTCCCCCCCCCCCCCAGCCTTCAGAAGAGGTCCGGGGACAGACTGTCCCCAGACCTGGTCTGAAGGCGGTTTCCCTAGGAACGCATTAATTGATTTTCAATGCATTCCTATGGGAAACCGTGCATCGCAAGACGAAAAAACCGCAAGACGAAGAGACTTGCGGAACGAATTAATTTCGTCTTGCGAGGCACCACTGTAAGTTCCTCTGTGGGACATACCAGGAGAGGCGGTTAGGCCGTATAGGGCTTTAAAGGTTAAAACCAGCACCTTGAACCTGACCCTGTACTCCACCAGGAGCCAGTGCAGTTGGTAAAGCACTGGGTGAATGTGATCCCGTGGCAAGGACCCCGTAAGGAGTCTCGCCGTGGCATTCTGCACCCGCTGGAGTTTCTGGATCAGTCTCAAGGGCAGCCCCACGTAGAGCGAATTATAGTAGTCAAGTCTGGAGGTGACCATCAAGTGGATCACAGTGGCTAGGTCAGGGCAAGAGAGGTAATGCTCATTGTCATCTTTTTAGGGCTGTGGGGCTTTTTTAAGGGGAAGAGACCAGAGTTGAGTTGTTGAGCTTTCTTTAGGGACGATGGACCAGAGGGTTCAGCTAGATGATCCTCAGGGTCCTTTCCAACTCTATGATTATAAATGACTGGGAACCCTGCAGAATCAACATATAACTTCAGAGCACATGCTGTCTCAGCAAATATCAGACCATCCTGCCTAGTTGCATCCCTCTCTTGCTAGTAAACTTTAACAACAACATCATTAACCCGGAATGGCCATACTGAATGATCTCTGCTGTTGAGACTCCGACACTATACAGTCGCACCTCGGCTCCTGAACGCCTTGGGAGTCAAACGTTCCGGCTCCCGAACGATCGAAAACCGGAAGTGAGTGTTCTGGTTTTCGAACGTTCTTTTGGAAGCTGAACGTCCGACGGGGCTTCCACGGCTTCCGATTGGCTGCAGGAGCCAATCGGAAGCCATGCTTTGGTTTTCAAATGTTTCGGAAGTTGGACGGACTTACGGAATGGATTCTGTTCGACTTCCGAGGTACGACTGTACCTGTTTGTATTTATATCTTTAATACTATTTTTAATATAACGTTTTGCCTTGCTTGAAAACCCATGCAATGATGACCAGTTACGGCAGGTGTGCTATTCTCCAAAATAAATTGCGAGTCCAGCAATGAAGAGTGAGAAATCTCATCTCTTCAGTGTCTTACGAACCAAAGGGTAGAGAGGTCCCTACCCAGGGAGGTCACATTCCTATAATTTTCCAGCATGATTTCCTTGTACAGAGCCTTCTGCCATGGGTCCAGGAGTTCCCACTCCTCCTTCGTGAAATGTATGACCACCTCCTCAAAGGACACCAGACCCTGAAAAGTAATATTATTAATTGTTGTTGTTATTATTATAATGCCCCGCCCATCTGGCTGAGTTTCCCCAGCCACTCTTCACTCCTCACAAATAATCCTAAGGAAATGGGTGTCAATCTGCCTGCTTCACCCACAGTGCAGGTAAATAAATTTTGGAAATATTGTACAAGAGCCAAAGCTTGTAGCCTACTTAAAGGGCGCTTTGGATGTCGAAAAAGCAAAAGATAGACCCCATAACCAAAGAGGAACCCAAACTTTTCATTCCAATGAATCCCAAAGCATCGTACAAACTAAAGATGAAAGTAACATAACAGAACATCACAAACACAGCATAAATCATAAATAGAATACCTCACCTACCTGAGCTGACTGCAGAGCAGCCATTTCTTCTCTTTTCACCATGAGGAGGCTGCCGGGAAGAGGTCACTGAGCTTCTTCCACGACCTGTGGGGACGGGTTGTGGGGTGTGAGAGAGACAAGTAGGGTTGGAAGATCTTTATCCTTTCCCACCTTCCCCCCCCCCACTTTAGTTCCACCACAATGTGGAAAGGCAAAAAATAAAATAAAATAAATTCCTTGTGGCCCACGAAGCTCACAGCCCGGAGGACCTTGCAGGGTTCCTGCTTGGAAAACTACAGTTCCCCCAGGGATCCTTGCAGAGAAGTCGGGCCCTTCGAAAAGGTGCATTGCTTCAAGGGTGTTTCAATGCATAGGGAGGGTCTGCCCTACGCCACGCAATATGTGGGGGAACCACAAATGATCCAGCAGCAGGAGGAGCTGAGCACACCTACTCCTGTGGAATTAATTAATTAATTGATGGATGGATTAATAATAATAATTTTTGCACCCTGCCCATCTGACTGGGTTGCCCAGAGACTACGGGAGAAAATAATAAGTGGTTTCTAAAAAAAACAGAGGAGGGGGGAAATTGCTTGCAAGGTGGTGGGAGGGATTTCCCCCAGCTGGGCTGGTGAGAAGGGGGCTGGGGGTGGGATAAGAGGGGGGTCCCTTTTACCCCTTCCTCGTCCCCCTAGAGGCCTGAGCTCCTGCCTCACCCTCCTAAGACTCACCCTCAGCGCCTCCCCAGCAACAATTCGGGAGGATTTTGGGGGTAATTGGGGAGGGGGAGGGGGGGAGAGTCTCTGGGTGGGTCTAGACACTTCCGGGTTCCCAACGGCAGCGGCTAAGGGTCGTCCATGTGCGGGGCAAGCGGGAGTGGAAATAGGCAGGAGTGGGAGGAGAAGGGTGACAGCAGTCACGAAATTAAAAGACGCCTGCTCCTTGGGAGAAAGGCGATGGCAAACCTAGACAGCATCTTAAAAAGCAGAGACATCACCTTACCAACAAAGGTCCGTAGAGTTATTGCCCACTCTGGAAGAATGGCAGATGCAAGTGATAGACTACATGGAATTGGCAGAAATGACTGGCAGAATTCGAGACCTGGGAGAAGAGTCAGTGGAGGAGGATTGGAAGAAATTTAAAGACTCCCTGCAAAAGCACTGCAAAATGTATGAATGCTCAAATGATGCAGGATATAAAGATAATATGGCATTAGTGATATAGTTGAAAGGAATATGTTAAGAATGTTTCATAAGACTAAGGGTAAAGCTAGAATAATATTATGTCAAATTTAAACAAATTGACACAAAGGGAAAAATTGGAGACATAATAGTTGAAATGTATAATACAAAATAAGATTTGAAAGAGGGGGAGGCACTGCTGAATGAGATTGTGTAAAAAGGAACACAGAAAAGGGAGATGTGAGGGACTCTGGAAAGAGGGTTAAGAAAATAATAAGTAAGAAATTGGGTTCCCCCCCTCTTTTTCTCTATTTTTTTTCTTTTCTATGTCTTTTTCCTCTTACTTTTTTTCCTTGTGTGTTTTATTGTATTTTGTGTGTTTTATTGTATTTTTGTTTTGATTGTGAAGTCTGTTTTACTGTTCAAAACTTTAATAAATATCTTCAAAAAAAACACAACCAAAAACAAAGGTCCGAATAGTTAAAGCCATGGTTTTCCCAGTAGTGATGTGTGGAAGTGAGAGCTGGACACAAAGAAGGCTGATTGCCGAAGAATTGATGCTTTTGAATTATGGTGCTGGAGGAGACTCTTGAGAGTCCCATGGACTGCAAGAAGATCACACCTATCCATTCTGAAGGAAATCAGCCCTGAGTGCTCACTGGAAGGACAGATCCTGAAGCTGAGGCTCCAATACTTTGGCCACCTCATGAGAAGAGAAGACTCCCTGGAAAAGACCCTGATGTTGGGAAAGATGGAGGGCACAAGGAGAAGGGGATGACAGAGGGCGAGATGGTGGGACAGTGTTTTAGAAGCTACCAGCATGAGTTTGACCAAACTGCGGGAGGCAGTGGAAGACAGGAGTGCCTGGTGTGCTCTGGTCCAGGGGTCACGAAGAGTCGGACACGACTAAACAACAACAAAGGGAGGAGAAGCCTTAAATAAAGTAGGAGGGATTCGAAGGTTCCATATTTTTAACCCTTCCCCGCATCTGCTTTCGAATAATCTCTCCTCCGGCCGAAAAAAAGAAGGTTGGATAATGGCTATATGAAGCCACATTGCGCATGCAACCAGCAAGGAAATGTTGGGGGAGTTTCGTGGATGGAGAGCTTGTAAAATGAGTGGAATTTATATTTTAAAATTGTATATATTTGCATATATGGAATTTATATTTAAAAAATTGTATGTATTTGTATATATACAAAATATTGTGTGTGTATGTGTCTTATCTATCTATCTTATCTATCTGTATGTATGTATGTATAATTATACATATACATTCAAACCTATATATAGTTTATATAAAATAGATACTAATCAGGAAGGGTTATCATATGCCTTTGAAGTCGCTGCGCAACCTGTGGAAGAGGTAGACAAATCGCCTTGACTAGACACCTCTCCCGCTTTGACCTCAGCTGCTCCCTCCTTCCATTCGCTGATTGAACCAGGAAGGAACGCACGCGCTTCCTTTGAACGCTCGCCGCTCGTCTTTCCCCTGCCTCTCTAGGAAGCGCGTGTCGCTCCCTTTAACCCAAGCGGCGGCGGGGCTTTGAAAGGCTGGATTCTTAGAGAGGCAGGAAATGGGGGAACAGGGGGATGTCAATAGTGGGAGCAACTTCCTGCCTTGCGTTCCCCCCACCCTCCACGAAATGTTTCTGCAAAAGCGGCTTGTGAATGCTGTTTGCCAGAAGCTGCAGGCAGGTCAGTGGCTGTTGCTAGAGCGCGTGAAAAGCGCATTTAAAAGTGGGTTTGGTGGTGGGGGGAGAGGAGGGGCCGGGTCTTTCTTGGGAGAGGGGGGCAGGTTCAAAAGAATTATAGAATCCTAGAATTGGAAGGGACCCTGAGCATCATCTAGTCCCACCCCCAGACCCTCCAACATTTCTCCTATGAAAATCATTCCATAATGATAATTTTACTATTTATACCCCACACATCTGACTGGGTTGCCCCAGCTACTCTGGACAGCTTCCAACATACATAAAAACATAAAAACATAATTTTAAAAAAACCTTCCCTATACAGGATCGCCTTCAGATGGCTCAGGGGTCGGATAGCTCCATACCCTCCAATGTTTCTCTAATTAAAATAGGGATGTCCTAAGAAAAAGTGGGACATTCCGGGATCAAATCCAGAAACTGAGACGGCTTCTCTAAATCAGAGATGTCCCTGGAAAATAGGGACACTTGGAATGCAAGAATATGCCCTTTGTCCCTTACAGGGATCAAACCTGCAACCTGCTGATGGAGAGGATACAGATTGCTGGTGGAGAGGGGATGGTGAAGAGGGGAGACGGTGGAGTTGCTGGTGGAGAGGGGAGAGGGTGACTGGCCTGGTGGAGAGGGGAGACGGTGACTGGCCCAAGATCACCCAGCGAGCTTCATGACTGAGCTGGGATTCGAACCCTGCTCTCCCAGTTCCGAGTCCAGCATTCTAACCATTACGCCACCCTGGCTCTCCAGTGAAATGTTGCCAGCCTTTAATTCTGTGTACCCCAAAGAGAAAGCCATTCCTCAGAATCACTCAGTTCTGTGCACGCATCTGCACATCCTTCCTCAAGGCCATTTGTCTTCTTCTTCTGAGGCGATCCCTCGTAGCCGAGTAAGATTGTCTTTCACGAACCCAGTTTTAACAGTGAGTCCGTGAGTGGCTGTGGAGGCCAATTCTGGATCCACACCTTTGGTAAAGGCTGTTCTCCAATTGGAGTGCTCACAGGCCAGTGTTTCCCAGTTATCAGTGCTTATACACTCGTACCTCACACGTCGAACGCCTTTGGCTCCCGAACGCCGCAAACCCAGAAGTGAGTGTTCCGATTTGCAAATGTTCTTTGGAACCTAAGCATTCAGTGTGGGTTCTGTGGCTTCCGATTGGCTGCAGGAGCTTCCTGCAGCCAACTGGAAGCCGTGCCTTGGTTTCCAAACTTTTTGGAAGTCAAACGTACTTCCAGAACGGATTCTGGATACAGAGGTACCACTGTACAGGGTTACATATGCTTCAGGTTACAGACACTTCAGGATACAGACTCCGCTTACCCAGAAATAGTACCTTGGGTTAAGAACTTTGCTTCAGGATGAGAACAGAAATCACATGGTGGCAGCGGCAGACCCCATTAGCTAAAGTTTTTCAGGTTAAGAGCAGTTTCAGGTTAAGAACGGACCTCCGGAACGAATTAAGTACATAACCAGAGGTACCACTGTGTTATTTTTTTTAAAAAAATTGCCTTGAGAGTGTCTTTAAACCTCTTTTGTTGTCTCACGGCAGTTTCTCTCTTTCTCTTCAGGGTAAGTGGTTTGTCATCCACCTGCTTCTGAATGACCTTTCTGTGGGCGGGGAATGAGGCATCTCTGAAGGAGCCCTTCTGAACCCCCTTTTGTGTGGACACAGCAGCTCTGGTTCCCAGCGGCGTTGCGGGACGTGGGCAAGAGGCCTCGGGCTAAGCCTGGGAGGCGGGATGGCGGTGGAGCAAGCAGATAGGTCTCCTTCCCTGACTCTCCAGCTGCAGGCCGTGCCGGATGAAAGCAAGGACCCAGAGATGAAGATGGAGCCAGAGGTGCTTCAGGGCCTCAAAGAGGCAACAGGGGCAGGAGACAGCTCCCCAGACTCCCAGTCAGCGGCCATCGGGGTCCCCAAATGCTGGGAAGAGCTGCAGCGCGTTAAGCAGGAGCCAGGTGAGGGTCTGTCGTCGCTCCGCTGGGAAGCCCAGTGGCAGGAATTCCTGAAGGCGGTGCAGACCCCTCACTCTGGCGAGGGCAACCCACAGCTGCCAGAAGCCGTGCCGTGGGGTGAAGGCAAGAAGGCACTGTCACGCTGTGAGAGGGCAGAGGCCATCAGCCAGAGGACTCAAGAACAGAGCCAGGATGGGGTCCTTCCTTTCAACAGAGCAGCCCAGCAGGCTGATGGGAGGGCGGGCGCCACTGGCGATGTCGGACCAGCGATAAAGATGGAGTCCGCCAGCGCAGAGGCCCAGCGTCGGCTCTTCAGGCAGCTCTGCTACCGGGACGCCCGGAGTCCTCGCGAGGTCTACGGGCGGCTCCGGGAACTGTGTGCGCAGTGGCTGAAGCCAGAGAGGAGCACGAAGGAGCAGATCCTGGACCTGGTGATCCTGGAGCAGTTCCTGGCTGTCCTGCCCTCGGAAATGGGGAGCTGGGTGAAGGAGCGAGGCTCGGAGAGCTGCGTCCAGGCCGTGGCCCTGGCAGAGGAATTCCTCCTGAGGCACCAGGAGGCGGAGAAAGCGGGAGGGCAGGTGAGAGGGCCTCATCCTGGGATTTCCCCCTGAGGTGGTTGTGGCGC